CGTGAAGGCTGCTGGGCTGCAGTGCTCTTCCCAGGCATCGCTCGCTGCTTCCCTGAGTATGGGAAGTAGGTGAAACGGCTCCTGGAAGGCAGAAGGCATGCCATGGTGTTTTGTTGCAAAAGGCCCCAGAGGTGCGGTGCTGCAGAGGATTTGTGTGTCTGCATGGGAGCTTCCCAGGGCTGGAAGCAGCAGAGCTGCAGACCTTTGAGAAGGGTCTGTGCTGGAAGGGGACGTGCGTGCCAGCAGGTCCTGCTGCTGGGTTCAGAGGGCCGGGAGAGGTGTGTACATTGTTTTTCCCTTCTTAAATATGAATGCAGCCCCCCTGCAAAAATGCACAGGTTTAATTAACGAAATATTGATTTTTCTAGAGTGTGGTGCTTCTCTAATTTCACTGTGCCAACTGGGATCTGAAACAAACATGGGCAGCAGCCCTTGGCCAAAAACAGGGTGCCTGGCAAAGCCTTTGCTGTGGTGTTTTGTGGGGTGCCTGAGGTTGCTCTGCCTGTCCCCAGGTCTGAGGCAGTAACTGAGCTTTCAGTGTCCCTACCTGCAACAGGTCTGGCCTCCTCCAGGAGGGTCCCACGGAGGGAGAGCCGGGTCCTCTGCCTGCCAGGAGACCTTGCTGCTGGCTTACCATCTGCAAAATAACTTTTCACCCTATTGCAGGATGATGGCAGGGGCCTGAGGTGGCCAGCGAGGCTTGGGTGGCCCTGGGAGGTGTAGATCTGAGGGATCTGCTTCCCCTCCTGGAGAGGAGAGCCATGAGCCACGGGCGGGCTGTTGGCCATGCAGGCAGCAGGGGTCCTGGGCTGGCTGCACCTACCCGAGCCCAGCATGTTGTGGGGAAGGCTGGATTTAAACACTGCATGCTTCTCCTGCCTCGCTTCATCCTTGCAGGGCAATGCTGGCATTCCTGGGGCCTTGCACTCGCCTCCTTTGCCCTGTTGTGAGAGCAGAAGCTGTCCTCTGGTGCAGCCTGGTGCCAAGCCCTGCCAGCGTGCTGGGGCTCGGGCTGTGCAGCCCTTCAGACCGTGGTGGCGGGGTGGCCCCAGGGGCTGCTTTGGCCATCGTGCGGTGTCACAGAGGGAGCGCGAGGGGACTGCCAGCCCAGGCTGTCAGGTGGCAGTGGCTCCATGCTGGCAGCAGTCGCTGGCACAGTGAGGGCGGATGCTTCCCTGAGTGTCCGGCACCTGTCCCTGGGCTCGTGGGGGCTGTTTTAACCAACATGCCAGGAAGACCTGAAAGCTTTCGCTGCAGCCAGCTTTCCAGAGCATCCTTGCTCTGCTCCCCCTCATGCCTCCGAGCCCCTGGGATGCCGCCCAGGGAGCTGGGACCCCTGTGACAGGTGCCTGCTTTCTCATAGCAGCACCCCTCACGATGCTGTTGAAGGGCCATTCTGGTGTGAGCAGGGTGGCCTAAGCTGCCCTTTGTCTTCCTTGGGAACCCTCAGGATTTGACCGGAGGATGCACTGGGCTGTGCCGGGGCTGGAGCTGCTGGATTTGGGAGCAGTCACAGTGCATGAGGCATCTTCGTTCTCAGTGTGCCGCTGTCCCCAGCCATGGGATGGCAGCTTTGCCCCTTGTGCCCACCTGCCTGCCCTGCCAGAGGGGGTCTTGCCTGCGAGGGTGGCAGTGAGGCTGCAGAGGGACAGGGACCCCGCGGGTTGTGCCTTGTTCCTCGCAGGCCGTGGCAGGAGCGGGAAGGGGTGAAGCTCCCTGTGGTGGGACTTGCTGCTCCTGGGGTCCTGCCGCCCCCTCCTCTCCTGGCCCCATGGCAGCTCCCATGGTGGCTCTGCCCCTATTCTGTCAAGGGCCAGCAGGTTACAGCCATGGCGGTGTGGT